AGTAACTCACGATATAAACTATAATAATTCCGATGCAAACTAATTCAACCACATATTGTGATTATTAGAATAGCGAGAAAAGGTTTGTATGAAAAATTTTTTAAAGCGATTTATGATATAAATAAATCACAGTAATTTAAATGCAAACTCAACCTTAATGTATGTAACATCATTTTTTATAGTAATTCATAAAAGAAATTACAATAATTCAGATACAAGCTAACTCACATTTTCATCGTTATCAAGTTCTTTAACAACAAAATGTTTACAATAACTCGCGATAGAAATTGTAAGGATTCTAATGCAAGCCAGCTCAACCACAAGACAATTCCACTGAACCTACCTCAACTTTAACCAGTACTCTAGTCATCAAAATAACGAGTTTTATAACAGTAACTCATTGTAAAAATCACAATAATTCTAATCAATAATTCAATGCAAACTAACTCGACTTTTAATGCATACTATAGTCACCAGAATAGTGGGCTTTGCAATAGAATTCTTTACGAAGGAAATAATAACTTCAATGCAAACCAACTCAAGCTTAACCACATAAAAATTAAAATAATTCTAATGCAAGCTAACTTAACTTCAACCACTTCGTGGTCGCCAGAATAGCGGATAAGTGTTACAGAATTTTTTATGCAACTCATAGTGGAAACCATGAAAATTCTAATGTAAACTTACATGACTTTAATACATATTGCGGTATCTCATTAAACTCTTTACATCTAAGCATATCATTTATTCATTTTGATTTATTTTTGTGTATAAGTTATTTCCATTCACTTATTTGTAATTCAATAGTTATTATAGCATTAATACGTATCTTAATTTAATTTAATTTATTTATTTAGTAACGAGATATTTATATTAAATAGCTATTTATTACTGGGAAAATCTTAAAATTTACCGATGTTTATTTAACAGGGGCGCCGGTGGCGCCCTGTTATACTCTTATATATAATAAGATATAATATATAATATTAAAAAAAGTTGGTTTATTTTGTTTCCAGACAACTCCTTTTTCATTTCTGATTTCTAAATTTCAAAATAAAAATAGGACTTTCAAACTCCCACTTATTTTCAAAATAAGTTAACTCTGAAAACCCATTAATTCATTTTGCATTTAAGAATTTTTTTATTTAAATGTGAAATATGGAAGTGAATAAAGAGTTATTCAAATTACATAAAACTTTGAGTATATTCAATTTGTTATTCCGAACTACTTATGACATACTGTAAATAATGATTAGCTTAAGCTGTTCTCAAGCATCTAAATAAATTGATCAGATAATAACCGTGATGACACTCAAGCATCACAATTGATAACGATATTTATAAATTTAAATGTTTGAGCATACTTTTTCTGTTTTTTGTAATGTTTGCTATACTACCTAAAAAACCTAATGAAAAAAAATTTCTTTTCAATCAACTGCTAAAGTTTCAACTTTAGTTACGCCGGCTCCTTTTAATGATTTTAACAATTTAAAATTCTTTAATATTGAAAAACATCTATCCAAACTTTTCAGTTTTAGGTCTTCTTTACTGGGAAGATATTAAATTTAAATGAGTGAAAAATGGAATAATAGTATTAATTTTAGTTTGGTTAAACATTAAAAGATTGTTGTATTTATTATACTCATATTAATGTATCGATTATTTGTTTTAAAAGCTTCAAACATTAAAAAAAAATGGCTATCTTTTGAGAAATTTGTTGAGAATTCATTGTTTATTTTGTTCAATATGCAAAAAATGTAGAAGTAGTGTTTGAGCAACCTATATCAATGGTAAATTTTTGAAGAAAAAGGTGGTTTGTGTCTCCTGATTTTGTCATCAGAATGGTAACTCATTTGATTCATTTATTTAATTTCTGTTTAATTTTAATTTTGCTTCCGATCACTTGATTGAGGTGCTTGAGAACACCTTTAGTAAAACTTTAACTTATACTGTGTATGGAGTTAATAACTTTTTTAGTACTGTAATTCAAACTAATAAAATTATTTTATGCGCAAATGATTCAAATATCCTCAATGACCCGACCCAAATGACAGATAATTATTTAATAACTTGAGGTCATTTAAATTTTGATTAAATAACCATGTCATTTACCATCCCTGAACTAGTATAATGTTAGTGTACACTAAATTAAATTTTAAGTTAAAAAATTTTTAGACAATTCTAATCCTAAAGAATTTATCTATGTTTTGCATTTATATATTTAAAATTTAATTAAGCGCATGAACTTTTCGAGATTTAAAAAGTATTTCAAAATTCATAAACATTTATATTGCTGAAAAATGATTTTTACGAAGCTCACAAATAATAGGTGCAAAGCTTTTATTTAATAATTTTATCATTTATCAGGCAAATAATAGAGCCCTGATATTAATGAACGCCTTGTATTTCATCCTTTTGACAAATTTACCAATGCCTTCAGTTGTTTATTCTTTTTCAACTCCAACTTCGCTTTATGCCTGTCTTTTAGACCAAACTTAATTTAATTTATGTTTTTTTCTTGATACTAATTCCATTTGCATTTCTTATTTTAGCTAACCTTGATAATAAATTTCTTATACTTAACTTTAAACCCAATTCTGCAAATATTTCCTATTTCAACAGATTAACAAATGCGAATTATGAATATTAATATATGTTTAACTCAATTTTATGCTATTAATCTCATTTTGATTATAAATATCTTCATTTATTCTTTTAACTTTAATATAAATTTTATTGCTTTTTTGCTTAACAGATAAATGATATTTTATGTTTATTTTTTTTGACTCCAATTTCTTTGTATATTCTTTAAGCCTACTTTTGTTATTTTAGCATATTAATGAACATCTTAAAATTGTTTCTTTAAACTCAATTTAGATTAACAAATATGATTTTTTTAATTTTTTTATTTTTTTTATTTGTTTTTTTTTGAATTGTTTATTTATTCGCTCTCACTATTTTCTGCATCACTTTCAGTTGTTAATTCCATTTCTGATTCAGATTATTCCACAGTTTTATTCTTATCATCATTTTCTGTTAATTCATTTTCACTACTCTCTTCATTATTACTTCTAGGGTCTAATAATTCAAATTGATTATTTTCACTACTAGGTCTGTTGTTGAAATGTACTATTGCCTCTGCCATATCAGAAGATTCTAACTTTGGACATGTAAGTTTATAATTGCTATATATATATATAAGCTTTAATACTCGTTGTGGTGTTAATCAACTTCTTTTTTTATCATAAATATAAGAAAAATTTGATCAATTTCGTGCAGCAGCAGCTAAGGATGATGGAATAGTAAGAATTCTAGATGTAATCTTACATAATTTAGGTGATGATTCTTTAAAATTTCCTTCCCACCAAGCAACTAGATCTACTTCATTTACTGCATTTTAAGCTAAGCTTAAATTAAATATCCCAGTTTGAGTTTTATACTGAAGTAATTGTTGCCAAATAATATTTGCTTTATTTGGATAATACTTTGAATAAATATTGAAATAGTTGACATGCCATTAGCTGGAAGTTTTCTTCTACAGTATTGTGGATCTATTAGATGTGCTACTAATATTACAGGCTGATATATTTTTTTTACCAGTTTTCTAATAAGGTTTTAATTCTAGAGCCTACTGCAAGAAAAATATAAACTATAATAAAAATATTAAATTATTAATTAAGTAAATAAATTACAAGTATAAATTTATATATAGTTGTTTACTATTAGACTCCAATTGCTCATGATACCATTGATAAAATAATGACAATTTTGGTGTATCCGACTCAAAAATAGAAATACCAGCAACTAACTTATCTAACACTATTAATAAAAACTCAATATCTTCCCAAAAATCATCAAAATTTATAGCTCCATTAACAGTATTAGGTATTGTAGTATGATTATCATAAGCAAAATCAGTTATAGTTAATTTAAGAGCAAGTTGATTTTGAACAAGTGAATTAAGACAAGTTGCTAAAGATCCTTAACGTGTTTTAACTAGATATTTAAGAGATATTTGTCAATTATATGAAGCTGATTGGTGTCATTTTAATATGGTATTTGGAATTTGATATTTTCTAAAATATGTAACCATTAATTTGGCTTTTTAAATATATTTACACTCCAGGATAATTTCATTACATCACCAACTAAAAGATTTAAACTATGTGCAATATAACCTAAAAATAAAATTTTAGGATAATCTATCTCTAATAATTGGCATGCCTTTTTCATTACAGATGTATTGTCTGTAATAATTGCTGAAATTTTTGAAATACTTATTTTAGTTATAATTTTCTCTAAATTGTAAGCAATTGTTTCACTATTTTGATGTATTTTATTAGTTGGATATGCTGTATAGAATATAGGTTTTGGTATTGTTAATATGTAATTAGTCCAATACTCCTGTACTAAATTAGACCATCTATCTGATACAACATATAGATTTTTGCTATTATTAATTAAGGTTTCAATTTTTTTTCATTTTAATTATAGATATTGTCTAACAAATTTGGTGAAAGTTTTTTATGACTAGGTAATCTAAATGCAGGCCATGCTTGTTTCCACAATTTTTTTAATAGATTCTATTTCAGGTAAAGATAAAACTAAACCACATTGAAATACTGATCGTGCAAATTCTAATTCAAGTAATTTTTGTTCTATTTTAGACATATGATCTGATGTAATATAATTTGTTATTTGTCTTTTGCTTGTATTTTTAGTAAATACTTTTTTATTAGATATAGATGAAGTTGATATAACTAAAGAAGTATTAGTTGGTGCAACTAAAGCAGATGCCGATGTTGATGCAACTGGGCTAGAATTATCAGGTATATTTATAAATATGTTACTATTATTCTCTTCATATAAATCACTAAAATAATTTTTTTTTGCTCAAATATAACTAGATCACAGTTTCAAAAATGTATACGTGCAGCTCTAAGTGAATCATTAATTTGATCCTCATAATATTTATATTCTCTTCTCTTTTTTTTTGAACCCAACCACATGTCCTAGTTAAATAAAATAAATCTATATTGGATCGGGCATTTTTTAGAAAAAATTTCCATTCAAAAATTTTAAGATTTATTTTATTTAAAAAAAATTACTTGTAGTAATTTTTGCTTTGCACACGACAAATATTTACTTTATATACAAAAAAACTAATTTTTTAACCTGTTTATTTATTGTAAAAAAAAAAAATCAAAATGTATCATAGTAGTAATAATAATATATTATACTAATAATTTAGCATATATGAGATTTCAACATGAATTTTCATCTTATTTTTTTTAACTTACTAAAATTTTCATCTTTTTTTGATTTTTTTTGCCAGGTTAATTATTTGATAATCTTAGATTGTCAAATTTCAATTTAATTTTTGTGACCATAAAATGTTGCCAAACCTAAGCAAATATATGATTTGTATTATACAATGAAGCTGAAAGAATAGTTGATTTTTATTTTTTTGAATCCTGTTCTATAAGCCTCATTTTATTTTACACAAATAAAACAATTTAACTCATGAGATAAAATTTCATAGCTCTGTCAATTGCAGTTTTATTATTGCATAAATTAGTACATATTTTTGAATACATTTGTTTTGTAGACTTTGTTAGTTTCACACCTTTTATCAGTTTTGTTACCTTTTATTAGTTTCATTACTTTCCATTAGTTTTATCACCTTTTATCAATTTTATCATTTTGTTATTTTAGGCTTTAATTGATAATAGACGAAACTAATTGAAAATATTCTTACAATAGGTAAAAAAAAATGGTATAGTATTATAAATCAATGATAATTCAAGTGTCTGTGAGATAGTTTTGACCACAGAAGTGGCTCCAATATCTTATAAATATTTGATTTATTCACTGATATTATTATTCATTATTCAATATGGTCTGTATTATTTCGCCAATAATAACCACTTCATAAACAACTTAGTTTGTAACAATTAATTAAACCAAAAATATTTTGCTGATTATAAATTCATAAACAAGTTTATTTCATGAACAGTATATTTTTACGACAGCTCATTTCACATACAAAGCAATTCTGGTTATGATTGTTAGAATAAAAGCATACTACTTAAGGTTAGTGTAAAATGAACTATTGGTAAAATATATTGTTAATGAAATAAACTTGTCTGTGAATTAATTGTCTGCAAAATAAACCTTAACTGTAAATAAATTGTTGGTAACTATAATATTTATCAGTAAGCTAATCAAAACCAATTAAATATTTATTATCATATATATTAAAAATCTAGAATTCTACTAGTTATCGAATATTTACAGTATTTTATTGAGTGGTGCACATTTTGCCAACAATTTCTTCACTAACAATTAATTTACAAGCAAGTCCATTTTACCAACCAACAAGTTCATTTCACCAACAATTATTTCTCTAGTCAATATTGTTAGTATCAAGTTAGAATTAGAGTTAATATTAGTGTAATTTATAAAAAATACTTGTAAGTGAAATAAGCTTTAGTGAAATAATTGTCAGTAAAATCAACTAACTCTTTCCAATGATCACTAAAACCAAATTTTTCCACTAATAGAAAAACAAAATTTTTTGTTGGAGGGTCATGGCCTACAGGTTTACTACAAAATTCTGAAAGACAGATTCCCAAAAGGATCTAATACTGACAAAGTTAGCTGGCATTAGCTATAATACTGGTCAATTTAATCGGTATTATGTTCTTTCAGAAAAATGGTTTTTGGAATTTTGTTGTAGAACCGTGGCCTACGTTGTAGTTTGTCTAGAGGTCAACGTTATTTGCCTTTCGGAACTCCTCTAAAGAGACATTTGGCATACAAGCCAAAAGCATTATTATACAAGATAACTAGCAGGTGGTGCACTTGTATAAAAAATCTTGGTAGAGTGTAGGCAAAGGGCTCACTTTCGTTGATGAAGTTCTTAGATCATTACTTAAAAGAAGAACACAGGGAAAACAACAAAATCTTTTCTTTTCTAAAGCTGCACTCTTTTTTTTGGGTTTGGTGGCTCTTCTCTTTTTTTTTTTTACCCTTCTGTCGGTCTTCCAAAATTTTCTACAAAAAGTAGAGATTTGGCTTACCCCTTTCAAAAGATCGGCATTGTTAATTTTCAAAATTTGGACAGACTTAGTAGAATGCAACTACATGACATGTCTATTTACAAATATAGTGCTACTTCAAGAAAGTTGGATCAGAATATCTGGTTAAAGAGATATCCAAAAGTGGTTATAAGTCAGAAGAACTTTATATATTAAGGTGAAGCTTTATACTAGAGATATACAATCATTGCATTTGTTATATAATTTTTTAGCCTTGCACAGGTTCTAATAGTGCATTCTGGTTATATAGAGAGGTGAAATCCTTCTCAACTATTATTTTTTTTTTATAAAATGTTTTTATTTTCTCGTTTTTTCTTTTTTTGGGTTTTTTATTTTTATATTTTATTTATTTTTTCCTATTCCCCCTTTTACATCTCCTTTTTAGTCATAGTTCGTTTTTGTCTTTTTATAGATTTTTTGATAAGATAATTCTGGCTTGTCTGTGAGCTAGTACAACAGGTTGTATTTAGAACCGTAAAGAACTAAGTGAAGTTGGGCTTTTAGTTCTATATATTAAATATATATAGTTATATATATATTTTTTAATAAAAAGCAAGCCACGGCAAAACCCATGAAGTTTAAAAAAAAAAAAAAATTGTCAGTAAAATGAACTTGTTGGTAAGTTGATTGTTCAAGCAGAGACTTCAACTGATTTTATTTTATGTTTGGGAATAAGTTTATAGTCCATGTCAATTCGACTAGTTTGTTTAACTTGTAATTTTTTTATCTATGAAATATTATTCTTCAGATCCCCACCTTTAATACCAGAGTAGTACCAAGATACTATTTCCATAATTTTCTGTTTTACTTTATAAGAAGTGCTTGAGATTATCTCTATAGCAGTATGTCGAGGTGTTGCAATAATATTGGCATAAAGAGATTGACTTCCCAATATCTTTACAAGAAAATAAAAGTGAATGTTATAATTTTTATAGAATTTTTTATATGTCTATTCATAAAGATTAATATATTATCAAAGGTTACATACTTCATAAAATTTTTCTATACAATCTGTAAATAGGCAAATCAATGGATTAAATATATTTCGATATCTATCATTATCATTTATAAAAATATCTTTTATGCAGACTAACTCATAAACTTTAGTTGTTGTTCTGGAAATATTTCTTTTCTTTTTACCTAACAAGATTGGACATCTATCAAGTATTCCAGTGAGTGTCAGTGAAATAACATCTACTCATTTTATTTACATTTATTAAGTATTCATTTTATCTAAATTAATTTGCAAAGATTCTAATTCATTAAATTTGTGAATTTTTGTACAACTTAATTAACTTAGTTTTATTTACACCAATTAAAATAGATAAGGCATTTAGGTATCAAGAAATTTGAATTCATTTATTTAATTTTACTATGTGAATGTATATGTTGTAATAGAAACAGATTCAAAATTTATATCAAAACTCTATTTTTGGGGTTGATTTTATCATATGTACACCTAACCTAACCCCTCAATTTAACTAACTAATTAGAAAATTCCAAATCTATTTAAATTACATTTCCACTTATGACTATATAAGTAAAAAATAAATATTTATAAACTGAGATATTTGAAATAAATTATTCAAAGTGTCTATCAAGTAATGCTTTATCATTTTATTTGAATTATTTTAACTATGAAAATATAACTATCTCTATATATAATTAAAACAGGTGGCGAAGCTGTCTGCATGATCATGTTCGGCAAAAAAAAACTATTAGTATACAAAAATATATTGGCCAGTGAAATTTTCTAAAGCATTAATACTAGGGTTAATTTTGTTAGTCAAAATTATTTTTGCCAATGTCAAAATTTGTCTAAATTAAATTGTCCAAATGTCTAAATATCTAAATTAATTTTTTTTAATTTTTTAATAGTAATTTTCAAAAAAATAACAATGTCAAAATTGTCTAAATTCAATTTGCCTAAATGCCTAAATGTCTAAATTATTTCGACTAACAACACTAGCTAGGGTGGTCATATATGCAATGCGCATGCATAAATGCATGTATGCATGTATCCATATGTATGATACCCATCTCTATGCATACTGTATTATCCTATTTATGTAACTTCAATATTACATGTAGTTCATCGAAAACAAGATACTTTATTAAATTTTTTCATTATTGTAAATGTATAAAAATTTACAAATTATTTTTAGCAACTTAGCAGTAACATTTGTTTTCAGTATTCCTAATTAGCAAATTATTACCTATTGCAGTATTGTATCAGGGTTGCAGCACAATTTCTAAAAGCTATTTCCACAAAAAAACATAATACTAACTACTTGTTTCCTTTTGGTAAAATATCTTTTGAGAAATTGAGTTACATTATTGTCTTAGTATTAAAACAAATTTATTAATCAATTTGCAATATTGCATTCAATATCAATAAAAATGAACTTGAGCTATTTCAAATATTTGTGTCAATTATTTTTTAAACAAAAGTGGCCCAGAATATAGTTAAAGAGTTTTGAAACAAAGTTTATATATTTTAAAATTTCAAGCTTGTAAATGTAGCTCTCAGCAAATTTTTATTTTCTTGAATAAAAACCTTCTTGGTTGTATCATAGGTGCTTATTTTTATTAATGTTTAAAATAAAAATAATTTGAATTTTTTATTTTTATTTTTTTAATTTTTAATTTTAATTTTTATTATTTTAATTTTTATTTATTTATTTTTTATTTTTTGTTTTTTGTTTTTTGTTTTTTAATTTTTAATTTTTATTATTTTAATTTTATTTATTTATTTTTTATTTTTTATTTTTTGTTTTTTGTTTTTTGTTTTTTATTTTTTGTTTTTATAAAAAAAACTAAAACAGAGTTTGGCTATACTAAGGTAGCATAATCTAGTTTATCCAATTAAAGACAAGATTTCATGCGTCCAAATATTTCTTGAGGGAGAAATTAGAGCACTTCAAAAAATTTATATTTTTATTATATATTATTTTCTTTAAATATTTTTTCACTATTAGTTAATATTATATGTGTACATTTTTCACTATTGTATAACTAATTACTCTAAACTTATAAAATAAATATCACTCCTTTTATCTTACTTTTTTTGTTTTAGATTAGTAGATATAGTAATAAAATCTTAAGTTATTTCTTGTTAATCTAAAATTGAAAAGAATATAATATAAGGAGGTTCTTATTTTTTGAGGTTTGCAATAAATTATTTCTTCTATCTAAAATTTATTACTTTAGTTATTTTTTTCAATTATTATAAAATGCATATATAGTGTTTTAGCACCATATATAATTGATTTAAATAAAACTTAGGGTTAGGGTTCAGGTATTAAGAATTATTATTTTTTTTTGTAAGATTTTTGGGGTCCTGAACATTTTTACTTAGAATGCCTGATCCCATTTACTTAATATAGTTTTGAGAAATAGAGACCTATAGTGTAAAGCACCATAGATGCGTTTTAGTAAAATTTACTTTTTTTACTTTTTTTAATATTATTGTTATACTTAAAATTAGCATTTGCTTAAAAATTAGGGATGGCAAATGTATTAAAACATCATATTTTAAAACATGTTTTAAATGTTTTAAAACATTTAAAATTTTTAATAAAAAACAAAAAAATCAAATATTTATTTATTAACCAATCAGATTATAGAGTTTCAATCACATTATTATTTGTAGGATAAAAATGATGAAACATCATGCTTAAAAAAACAAAATCCTAGTGCTTTTGCTAAAAAATATCAAATTAATAAATAAAGGCAATTGTTATTTCATTATTCAAAATTACATAATATCAGCAAAAATAAACCAGTTTATTTTTTTTTTAACAGTGCTAGGGTAGTTATAGACCAGCTGTATAACTTTGTAAAAAAGCTATAATACTCATGGAATAACCAAATAATAAATTAAAACATACTGGCACAAAATAAATTTGTAAGATTACAAAGTAAGCACCAAGTGATTTTAACCAGAACTGATATGTATATACTAGTATAATCAATATAGAATTCTTATTTCTAACTCTCTTTAATTGATGATTCTCCAGTCAACTAGTGAGTGATCTTAGTAAAATGTGACTCAGATTACTATATAAATTTACTATGGTGCGAATGTGGTATTCGCCCAAGATAAACTTTTTTTATACTAAGTTAATAATTTTTCTTGCTTAAGAGACTTTTGTAAAGCTTGTCAAGACACATCTAATGGTAGTTAGAGCATCAAATTTTGCATGTGAGTACTGAGATATCTTTAAAAAACCTCTCTTTTACTATGTAAATTTCTTTGCAAACAATAGTATTGTAGTAGTA